TTTGAAGGGCCGATTACAGAGACCTGGTGCACTACGTGCCACAAGGTCCCCAAACGACCCTCCGCAGGTTTTGAATTTAGAGTTGTCCTTCTCCTAGACCAGTTGCCATCCAAGGCTATAGAACCTAGTCTGTCCTGCTATTTACACATAGCTGGAGGGAGAAGAAGAGGATTAACACCTTTCCCAAGGGTATTAGCACGTAAGTGAATGTAATGGATTCGATTGGAATTCGAACTCGGCTCTCCGATTCCTCCATCCAAGCCGCTATCGATTACTCCACCGTGCCTCCTAGATTCGATGACCTGATCTGTTTGAATATCATTGTCCTGTACAATTATACTTTTTTAATGACAGATTATGATTTGTGCATTGGTTTGTATAGTCAAATCTCACTCATTTGCATAACTTTCAGTGGATCGCGTCTTCCTCCCAATTAGGCCTATTTTTGTAATCTTATTGAGCCAGCTCAATGTGTTTAATAATGGCGTGAGAAAATGGTTAACGAACCACACTTGCATAATCTTTGGTTACTGAATATTCATTTAGATCCTCACTGTTTGTTCCATGTTGATGGCTGTGTATCAGAAACTAAGCGCAATGTCGCATCTATTCATGGATATCTCGAGATGTAGTAATAGTTATGCATAATGCGTGATTTCGATCCTCACTAGTTGCCTCATACTTGTGACCTTGTGTCAAAATAGGATAATTATAATAAACAATAATTTACTGCATTTATTTGTTATAGAATCTATGTTTCCATCTCATTCAATAATGTAAGTCCATTGTCAATATCTACACATTTTCTTGTATCTCTTTTTGTCATAATAAAATTGGTTCTTATGTAATTGTTCTGAGCTCCAATTAACAGTGATTCGCCTTCTCTTGTCAAATATCCTCTCCATAAATATGACAATGTCTTTTCATCTGCAATTTTTTCGTTTTGCTGTTGTTTTCGTTTTCATGTTGTTGTTTTTCTTCTTCTCAATTAAAAGTCTTCTAATCTACAACTTCATCTCTGGTTCGTTCGATGACATTTTAGTTGTCAATGATTAATCTTTAACGGTTTCAACTTTTGCCGTCTTCGCGTCGTTTGATAACAAATTCCTCTTCACTCTTCTTTGCACATAACAATTTTCAACATCATTTTTCGAATTAGTATTATCCCGATTAGCGTTGTTCTCTCTTCTCACGTCATGGATTCTGTCGTACAAATCAACTAAATACCAACTTTGGATGTTACTTTACATGAGAATTCTATTCACTATATGCGCCTTCCCGAAGAGCCTAATCTTGTAGCGTTACTGTGTCTACAGTTTACATAGAATTTGGATGGAATTTTTATGGCATTTCTTGAAGGCTTTTCTTGAGAGTAGCTAGCTTTCTTATTATTACCATTATTACGCCCGCCATAATTATCATTATAAAAATGTTTCGTATTATTTGCATTAATAAACAAAAATGGATTTTACTGTTGACTTTTCTCTTACTTTCATTCAAATACAGTGCTGTATATATATATATTTTGTCTATTGTTTTGGGGGGTTTTTTGGGGGGGTTAAGCATTGTGCCCCAAGCAAGGCGTGAACCACTAGGATGCAGGGGTTGCGGAAGATTTGGAGCGAGAGCAGATAAGAGTGATAGGAGAAAGGAGGAGGAGAAGGATAGTGGGTAGATCAAGGTAATTGGAGATGTCGATTGATATTACATTTGAATAGTTGGAGATTATAGCTTTCAGGGAAACAGTAATTGGGGAGGGTGTTCCACTGGCGAGAGGTGCGAGGTATGAAGCTATTGGAGTAGAAGAGACGGCTACATTTGAAGGTTTCTACGGTGTAAGGGTGAGAGCGGGATGCCAGCCTCGTAGGGCGCTTGAATTCATCAGAGCAGTTACCATGGAAGTATTTGTAGAAAAGACAGAGAGAGGCGACGGCGCGTCTGTGAGAGAGTGACTGAAGACAAGACGCTAGATGCTAGATCAGGGCCAATTAGATTACATATCCAGTGACTGAAGACAAGGGTTAAAATAATTTTTAATCTTACTAATATAAAGACCCCTTCCCGACCACCTAGGAAAAAAAGTTTATTCACCCTAAGGTATTCTATTGATAATTATAAATTTGGATATAAATGAGATTCGGGAAAAAAACTCTGTGCAAAAAAGTAACTAAGATATCGCATTCTAATGATTAAACTGGTAGATTTAAAGAGCTTTGATAAAATATTGAAAACTATTTTACAATACGCTCAGAACAATATTCTAGAGAATTCTAGAACAGCTTAAATTAAATCTAGAGTATTCCAGAATATTCCAGAAAGCCTCATACAATATAAAAACAGCTTGAAATAGCCACTCAAGTCACTAACTAGATGAAAGGTTACAAACACACATTAGAACCAATTAAGGCATCTATTATTGCCCTCTCAAAAGCAGACAAGTCTACGAGAGAAATTGCAGAAATTGCTATAACCTCGCAATCAACTGTCTCTCGAGTGCTTAGGGCACATAATGATGCCACTCCTGCTCCAAGGAAGGAAACAAGGAGACGAAAGAAAAAGATTGATGATAGAACTGGCAGGGTAATCAAGAGAGAAGTTGAGAAGACTAGGTCTATAACTAGCCAAAGAATTGCAGCCAGTCTAAGCAAAGAGCAAGGTGTTAGTCTTGCCTCTTCAACAGTCCGTCGGTGGCCTTTAGAACAAGGCTACAAATCTTGTACACGAAGGTTTAATCCGCTAATAAGCAAAGCCAACAAAGCTAAGAGAATTGAATGGGCTCACTATTACAAAAATTTCACCGTAGAAGACTGGAAGAATATTCTCTTCTCCGATGAAACGAAAGTTGAGCTAAATTCAAAGGATAAGGTGAGTCACTTTTATCGAACAGCACTGTATTTTACTTGCATAAATTCTCCTTACTTCATCCAAGTTTTGTCATGAGATCCACTTTCTTTCACCCTTAAAAATCGGATCAACGTTTGTCTCGTTTCAAAACTATGATTATTTTTTTCATCTATATCACCCACAGCCTAATACAAATGACAAGTTTTCATCCGTAAGCAAAATAAATTTGGAGCACTGGAAGAAGAGAAGGGTGAAAACAAGGAACAAAAGAGTGGGAAAAAAAATCAAATTATTTTTTCCATTCTTTACATACTTATTAACGTTTTCCTTTTCACAAAAGCATGAAGACTGAAACAACAACAACAATAATAATAATAATAATAATATACCCTGAATTATGGAATTATGATGACATAAGTTAAGAATTGCGTATAGTATTTTTCATGAATTGTTGCCTTTGCTAATTATTTTTAATATCATCATCATCATCATTGTCGCCATTGTCATCATCATCAACATCATTATTATTATTTGTAATCTTTACTAAAATCGAAATATCTTTCAAAATCTCCTTTTCAACTCCTATAATTCTTTTGAAACTTCCTCTTGCTTCTTTCTCCTCCTCCCCCTCCACCTCCTCCTACTTCTACTATTCAAAGAATACCTTTTCTTTCTTCTACTCTTTTTCTTCGTAATCATCCTCCTCCCCCTCCTCCTCCTACTATTCAAAGAACACCTTTTCTTTCTTCTACTCTTTCTCCTCCTCCTCCTCCTCCTTCTACTTCTACTATTCAAAGAACACCTTTTCTTTCTTCTACTCTTTCTCCTCCTCCTCCTCCTCCTTCTACTTCTACTATTCAATGAACACCTTTTCTTTCTTCTACTTTTTCTCCTCCTCCCCCTCCCCCTCCTCCTACTTCTACTATTCAAAGAACACCTTTTCTTTCTTCTACTCTTTGTCTTCCTAATCCTCCTACTCCACCTTTCATCTGTTTTATCCTTTTTATAGTGTTTCTTCCTCTTTGCATCTTCTTAATACAATGACTACTACTAATATTACTGATACTACTGCCACTATTATTATAATAAAACTGCGGATGGATGTACACAAATTATTATTATTATTATTATTATTTACATTCTCCCTTTTCCTAATTTCTCTTGAGAAAGATGGGGTGATTATTTTCAGAACACCTGTAGACTGGCTATTTTGGAAGCCGTCCAAATTTTCTAAAACGGATTTTAAATATTTTGTTTATTTTACAGTTTGTTTTTCAGCAAGTG